ATACACAAATATATATTTATTTACATATACAAAAAAGTATATATACACATATGCTAAAACATACATTAGGTAATTGTGAAATAATTTGGAAAAATCTAAACATAAGATAGAAATAAACACCTTTCTTTGGAGATAGCCTAAAATACAGAAAAATAGTTTTGAAATCATATAATTCAAAGTGCTTCAGATATGAAAATCATGAAATTATGACAATAATGAATAATTTTCCATTGTTACCCTTTACTCTATGGTCTTTATGTATCATTACTCTCCATATATTCTCTATGTATCATATTTCTAGGTATCATTGCTGCCCATACCTTTCACAGTACTGGCCTTCATGTCCTCGTGGACAAGCAGTGCAGCGGTAATCATCAAGGCCTTCCATGACACAAGTAGGACTGAAACTAAATCAGAAAAAAAAAAAAGAAGATTGTAGAAAACATTTTAATTTATTTGCTTTATGAAATTTGGTACTTCTATCCACTATCAAGGAGTCCTGGTGATACAAATGTTAAGTGCTTGGCTGCTTACTGAAAGTTTGGCTATTAGAACACATCCAGTTTCTCTGCAGGAGAAAGAGGTTTCCCGTGTGGTGCAAATGGTATGTACTTGCCTAATAACTGAAAGGTTGGTGGCTCAAATCCATCCAGATGTGCCATGGTAGAAACCCTGCCTGGCAATCTACTTCCATAAGATTACAGCCATTGAATAACCTATGGAGTACAGTTCCATTGTGAAACACTTAAGGTCACCATGAGTTAGAATCAACTCAATTGCAACAGGTTTGTTTTCTTCTAGCATCTATCATCAAGGTAATTGGGACTGCTTTTCCAAAAATCAAACCAAGTCCACTGCCACTGAATCAATTCTGACTTATAGCATATGCTTTTGGACAGAGTACCCTACAGGGTCTCCAAGGTTGTAAATCTTCATGGAGGCAGACTGCCTCATCTTTCTTCTGCGGAGCTGGTGGGTTTGAACCACCGACCTTTTGGTTAGCAGCCTAGTATTTTAATCTCCGTGCCACCAGAGCTCCTGGTCATAAATGCCATGCATATAATTACTGAAAATGTTCGTATTTAAGGGTAGGATATCAGTACTGAATATTGTGCACAGAGTTCCCACATTCAGCATTATTTGGAAATAAATAAATTAATACTTTCAATATTGGTTTGTTTTTGAGAAATTCATAATGCATCACACTAAACATGTTAAAATTTGGGATTTTAATAATTTAAAGTCATCCATGAAAATGTAAACATCTAGAAAATGCATAGTTTTTTACTTATCAAAAGAAAAACATGACTAGAATGCATATTTGTGTGGTAGCAGAACAGGTATTAAAGAATATCTTCCAAGTTAAAAAAAAAAAAAAAGAGCAGGGAAAAGTGCATAAAAACTATATAATTTTTTTTTTTTGGAAAATTCAGCAAAATATCCACATGAAGTGTGAATAAATGTTTTACTTAAAAGAATGCCTTTTCTAATTTACTTCAGAATTCAGATTTTAATTTTAAATAAAAAGTAATGTGATGTTGTGTGAAGAAAGAAGAAGAAAACTTTCTAATATGAAAATGAATAAGATTTACTCTCTATTCTATGCTTTTTTTTTTTCCTAACAATTAAATCTTGGATAACATATTTTGTATCTTCACAACAACTCAGGTAGGCCATAATAAGTCTGCCTCACTCCAGAATTTCTGATTATCTTACTCTACAAAATACAGACTTACAAAGATGTGAAATTTGCTGTACTTAGCATGTAGTTTGGGGTTGTCACAAACTTCTGTCAAATATGAGTGGAGGGGCATTCCCACTGGATAAAACTGCATAGTGCATTGGACTTAGGAAGAAAAAATACATATTTGTTGCAAAATGTTCAATGCTACCAACACTGTTTTTCTTTTTTGTTGGTCCTGCTAAATCAGCTGATGCTGAAGAGGCATTAAGGTGACTAGGCCAGGGCCAGAACTCTTGTTGGTCAGGTGCCATTAGGAACCTATTTTAGCTATCTTCTAATGCATTCAATCAATATGTGAATGAATGATAAACTCTAACTTCTGTAAAATATGTGGACACATTGATCTACTACTCACAAACTTATTATCAAACAAACTTATTTTTTGCCTTCATAAAAATTAACCTACAAAATATAATTGACATATTCTGCCAAGCTTTTAGCTCATCAATTTAAAGGTGATACTCAGTATATGCATGCATGCACGCACACACACACAACCACATATACATACAAAGATACTTACAAACATGTTTTAGACATATGAAATGAAACTCTCTAGTGTTAATATAATTTAATTATCTTTTAAAAGAAAAAAAAAAAAAGCATCACTGCTGTCTAATCGGATCTGACTCATAGTGCCCCTTACTTAGGTTTCTGAGGCGGTATTGCTATGGAAGTAGATTGCCCAACCTTCCTTCCGAGGAGCAGTTGGTGGGTTTGAACCACCAGTCTTCTGGTTAGCAGTCAAATACCTTAGACACTGTACCACCAGAGCTCCTAAATTAACTATACTCCTATATAAAAGGAGCTCTGATGGTGTAGTGCCTAAGGTATTTGACTGCTAACCAGAAGGTTGGAGATTCAAACCCACCAGCCACTCCACTGAAGGAAGATTGGGCAATCTACTTCAGTAAAGATTTAGTGCCTTGGAAACCCATAGAGGGTTGCTATGAGTTGTAATTGACTCAAAGGGAGTGTTTTTTTTTTTTTTTTTTTCTGTTTTTCCTTTTTTAATATTCCTTTGCAGTTAAATATATTAGACACATTTTTCAGAGGTGGATGATCCCATCCTTACTCCCAATCTGTCTTAGTTTAGAATTTCCACTGAAGCCTCTCCACCATGGGTGACCCTGCTTGTACTTGAAATATTGGTGGCATAGCTTCCAGCTTCACAGAAACATGCAAGCCACCACAGTGTGACAAACTCACAGATGAGTAGTTCATTTTACTTGGAGCCACAATCAACACCCATAGAAACTGCAGTCAAGAAATCAAATGTTGTATTGCACTGGGCAAATCTGCTGCAAAAGACCTCTTTAAAGTGTTAAGGAGTAAATAGGACACTTTGAAGACTAAGATGTGCCTAATCCAAGCCATGGTATTTTCAATCACCTCACATGTATGTAAAACCTGGACAATGAACAAAGAAGATGAAAGAAGCATTGATGTCTATGAGTTGTGGTACTGGCAAAGAATACTGAAAATACCATGGACTGCTAGAAGAATGAACAAATCTGTCCTGGAAGAAGTGTAGCCAGAATGTTCCTTAGAAGCAAGAATGGCCACACGTCATCTTACATACTTTGCTCATGTTGTCAGAAGGGACCATTCCCTGGAGAAGGAGATTGTGCTTGGTAAAGTGTCAGTGAGAAAGGAGAAGACCCTCAGCAACATGGATTGAAAGAGGAGATGCAATGATGGGCTCAAGTATAGCAAGGATCGTGAGGATGGCGCAGGACCTGGAACTGTTTTGTTTTGTTGTACATTGGGTCACTGAAAGTCGGAGCCAACTCAATGGCACCTAATATCATCAGTACAATATCTATCTAAAGTACTGCAAAAGAATCCATGATTTCTCCGTCAATAGTTGATATTCTTCACAATTTTTATAATTATGATATTGTGACAAATTGTGTTTTCTTTATGTCACATAATCAAACCAAAAATCAAATCCATTGCCCCTGAGTTTATTCCAATTCACTGCTACCTCATGTGTTATATAATAGAACTGTTGTATATGTTTTTCCTAACTATAATCTTTACGGAAGCAATTTGGCTGGACTTCCTAAAGCATCTTACTGCTAACCAGAAGGTTGGTGGTTCAAACTCACCAACCACTCAGCAGAAGCAAGACTGGAGAATCTACTTCCATCAAAATTTACCAACTTGGAAACCCAATGGGGGTCACTATGAGTGAGAATTGACTTGATGGCAGGGGGTTTGGTTTGGTTCTTCCATGGCACTGCTGGGTGTGTTCAAACCTCTGAACTTTAGGTTAATAGTTGAGTGCAAATAGTTTGCAACACCCAGAGATCTTACCACCCAACAATACTTATGAAAAAAGAGAGAAGTAGGAGTTACATCATGATTGATGTCAGAGTTAATACTTTTTGCTCACAGCTCTCTCATATGATCTTAATTCTCATATTTCTCACTCAGAAATCCTGGTTCTTTTCTCTTGGTTACCATCTCTTACATTTCTCTATGGTTGTTTATTCCAACCCTCCTCAACAGAATTTTCAATATTTACATATTCTGCTACCTGTCATCCTGTGGACCCTACCGGATGAACTTGCAACATGGATACCACTCCATTTTAATTTTCCTACTAAATCACCTCTGTTTCTTCTAAGTATTCTTTACTGGATTTATCTCATTTCCTGGTTCTCTTAATTGTGCTTCCAGGTTCAGGCTTTGGATCTCTCCTCTGTTCTTCCTCCTCCCCTCCCCCCTCCTCTCTCTCTTAAATAATCCTATTTAGTCTAAAGCCTTTAAATATCCGATTTACTCTGATAAGTCATTCATTACATCTCCAGTCCTCTTGCTCTGAGTTCCAGGCTTGTCATCTAATTAAGCTCAATAACTAATGAACATTTTAAACTTAACAGATTTAAAACTGAGCTCCAAATACACTTAAAACAAAACAAATTCACTGACATAAAGTTAATTCTGACTCATACAGAACCCCTTTGGGTTTCCAAGGGTATAAATCTTTACAGAAGCAGACTGTCTCATCTTTCTTCCATGGAGCAGCTGGTGAGTTCTAACCACCAACCTTTGGTTAGCAGCCAAATGTCTTAACTACTACACTACCAGAGCTCCTTATACTCTTCCCAAAACTTCCTTCTATAGTTTCCCATTCCAGTCATTGACACTCCTTTATTCTGTTTCCTTTGCTAAAGAACATGGAGTCAACTTTATCTCCCTTCTCTCATTTTGTTGTTGTTGCTGTTATGTGCTGTCAAGTCAGACCCAACTCATAGCGACCCCTACTTGGGTTTCCAAGGCAGTATCAGTATGGAAGTAGATTGCCCAACCTTCCTTCAGAGGAGTGGCTGGTGGGTTTGAACCGCCAGCCTTCTGGTTAGCAGTTAGGTGCCTTTCATACTCCTCATATATTCCATCTTCAAATACTGCATTAACCTGTGCCAAGTGCCCTCCTCTCTCGGCTATAACTGGTGTCTCTCCCTCTACCTTGCCCCCCATTCAGGTTACTTTTAACATGATAACCAGAGTGGGCCTTTGTGATGTAAGTCAGATCCCATCATCAAGGATCTGGCCTCAGACTTGAAGTTTTCCAATGGCTTCCTATTATATTTAGTCCACAAGATACTCATTATCTGTTGGAATTTCCCTGACCGCAAGTACTGCCACCCTCCTCCT